TGCAGAACTTCACATCAAGGCTTCCAGCAGCCTTACTAAAGTAGCTGCTGGGGTGGTACTGCCTGGGGGGCGGCGAGCTTGGCGAAGCTGCTGACAAAGAGATTATTAGCATAGTCCGAAATCCTAAGGCGCTTGTCCGCCTTGGTCTCGAACTTTTTGGTGAGGAGGGCCTCCAGCCGCTCCAAATCTTCAGGGGAAACCTCCTCAGCTGGCCTCTTGCGAAGCTCACGAATTTCCTTCTCGGTGTCATCCAACTCCTGGTCCCCTTCGTCCAGGCCAGGAACAGCTTGCTCCTCGCCGCCACGAAGGATGTTCTTGGCTGCCTTCTGTGCGGACCGTAACAACTGCCACTCGGAGAAGGGGACCTTTGTCGAATCTGCCACTTTACGAAGTTCATCATCGGATAGTTCGTGAAGGCGTTGGACGATATCAGGATCATATGTGGATTGATTGCCAGAACTGCCCATGTCCGTGCTGCCCCCTGCTGCAGGAGCCTGATGTCCTCCGCCCACAGGTACGCCTGCGGGTTCCATGGGAACATCTTGAGGTACTTCTCCTGGTGCATGGACTCCAGCAGCACGGGCGGCTTCAGCTGCAGCTTTGGTACGTGACTTGAACTCCTCCTCATCGAAGTTATTCTGCTTCTCCTTGGCATTGTTGAGCTTGTTGCGTGCTTCTTCCAACCCAGCGGAGGCTGCTTGGAATGCGGATTCAGCTTGGGCGACTTTCTCCCTAGCTTTCGCCAAGGCGTCCTGTCGAGCACTGCGGTCTTGCCATGCCAACCTTTCTTCTTTTGCTGCCTGCTCCACTTCTTTGGCAAGCTCCGTACGTTTGGCCGCCACCAGTGATTCCAACTCCACATTGGTAGGAACTGCAGGAAGCGGCTCAGGGGGAAGTGCGGATGCCAGAAGAGATTGCAGCTCGGGAAATTGAACGAGTGCAGCACGGGCTTGGTCTGCCAGCGAGGACGAAACATCACTTTGTCCTCCACCAACATGCTCTGAAAGACCTCCTGGAAGCCCGTGCGGTTGTTCATACCCTTTATATGCGGACTTACATACACTGCACCAAGCGTGACCTCTCCAATCCCATTCCCAGTGGCCACACTTGCTGCACACGCTGTAGGACTGATGCTGACCCCGCCAATCATTGCCACGACTGCGGGAACGAGAATTGCGCCAACCATGGTTGCCCTTGCCCCACTGCGCCATTGCATGCACTGCAGGACGTGGGCTTGCTCCTCCAGGAGCTCACAGGTGCCCCCCTGTGGGGCGAAAGCAAGGAGCCTCGAGCCGCTCCCTCGGCTGCACACAAGCTCCCAGCGCGGGAGCGACGTTGGGAACTTGAGCCAAAATGGCTACGGAGGAGCTTGAGGAGGAGGAGGAGGAGGAGGAGAGGAGGAGGAGGAGGAGGAGGAGGAGAGGAGGAGGAGGAGGAGGAGGAGGGGAGGAGGAGGAGGAGGAGGAGGAGGAGGAGGAGAGGAGGAGGAGGGAGGAGGAGGAAGGGGAGGAGGAGGAGGAGGAGGAGGAGGAGGAGGGAGGGGGAGGGGGAGGGGGGGAGGGGAGGAGGAGGAGGAGGGGAGGAGGAGGGAGGAGGAGGGGGAGGGAGGAGGAGGAGGGAGGGAGGAGGAGGAGGAGGAGGGAGGAGGAGGAGGAGGAGGAGGGAGGAGGAGGAGGAGGAGGAGGAGGAGGAGGAGGAGGGGGGGGCGGAGAGGAGGAGGAGGAGAGGGAGGAGGAGGAGGAGGAGGAGGAGGAGGAGCACGAAGAGGAGGAGGAGGAGGAGGAGGAGCAGGAGCAGGAGCAGGAGCTGGAGGAGGAGGAGGAGGAGGAGGAGGAGGAGGAGGAGGAGGAGGATATTGCCTAGAATTTTGCCTGCCTGATCACCTGCACCGAATGCCCGAGAGCACGGCCGACGAACGGGGGCCCCACGCTTCCACCGGGTCCAACACATGGGCGACGCGGGGCGGCCTCCAACGAGAGCTCTGCTGCACGGGGGGGGGCGCCTGGAGCTCCCCGTCCCGTGGCCTGTCCTGCAGGCCTCGGCTCCTCTGCCATCTCGCGCACGAGCGGCCTTGGATCCGGAGGCTATCAGCAGGAGGAGAGGAACAGGGCAGCTCCATGCGATGCAGAAGTCGCGACGTGCCCAGCGCCGCCGCCCCCCGCCCTGCTGACGAGCCCCCCGCTCGACCTCTGGAGCTCCAGCGTGAGCCGCTACATGCCCATCAACGTCAACAACAACAACATCTGCCACCTGATACTAATCAAAGGGTAAAAGCAGCGCAGTCTGAAGCTTTGTCTTCATCGGCACCCTTCGGAGTTCCCTGCCAGCTGCAGATATGTGAGTAGTACCGCCTCGCAGGAGAGATGGGCCCGCTCTGTCTTTTCGGAGGACGGAGACTCGGGTTGTTGCTTGCATGCCTTGCGGCAAAGTGGAGTGACCTCCCGGTGTTCACATACATGAGTCGTCTTGAGATTGGTGCACATATGTATCTTGCGGCGCCGATGGCTGGCTATTTCCTGAGGTCGTTCCACCGCCATCGCATGGCCATGCACCACATCGACATGCATCCACGACGCCTTCAGCTACCCAATGCACGCCGACCCCATCTACAGCTACCTGCAGTCTTCCAGAAGCCTGAACACCGCAAGTGGATGAGCTCGGCCACCGCGTACATAGCTAAGACTATGAAGTTTGCGCCATCGAGGGACGTGCACGCACAGCCGCCGAGAGCCGTCTATACCGACCCCCCCCGCTGGAAGGATAATGTCCCTCCCCGGCGCTGCCGCGCCCGCCCGAGGGGCCGCCAGCAGCCCCCTGCGGCGCCTCGGCGGGCCGTGGCGCCTTCCGGAGCGGCCGCGCCCGCATCGGGCCTTGCGCGAGGCTCGCGCTGCCCTGGGCCGCTGGGCGGCCAGAGCGCGCATGCCGCACCGCGTGCTGCGCCGTGGCTCTCGTTGCCTTGATCAGCGGGCCCCCCCGCCTTCTGATTGCGCCCCCTGGGCCTCCGCCCATCTGGCGCGAGGCGGAGCAGGGGATGACCGAGAGCATGGAGGAGTCCAATGAGTTCGTGGTCATCGCTGAAATTAAAGAGTGCGGCAAGGTTTGGGCGCACGATGGCTGTGACATGATGCGGTACCTCCACCAGCTGGCGCAGGCGGATCCTGACTGGGCCCTACGCCTAGATATTCCGCCGCGGGACGCAGCAGTGTGGACGCGGGGGGCAGAGCGGTCTCGGGTCTGCCTGCGTGGCTGTGGGCACCTCGCTTCTTGCCTCCACTGACGGCGGACGCGAAGCCGGCCCGCGTCTTGCCCACAGTAGAGAGGAAACGCTTCTCTCCCCAAGGCGAGCGGACATTCCGCAAGCCATTCCGCAGTTGTTTTCGCCGTGTCGCTCATTGTTTGCACGCACCTGGTTCATGCGGTTTTCAGATTATTGGTAGAGCAGTTCGTGACACGTTGTTCAGAAGTCCGCAGACAAGGGGATCAGAGGAAGCGGTGGTGGGAAGACGATACCACACACATTCTGACAACAAACATGTTTCCCCAACCTGGAAGCGAACGATGATTTACACTCGCACAGGACAGCACTCCATGGAGCCATTTGGAACAAGCGTTCCAACGCCACACACGCAGCACTGACCACAAGTTCCACATTTACCCGCGCCGGCCTTCGAGGCTCCGCCTCCCTGGCGGACTCAAGCGCGCATTGCCCTCGCCTTGTTCAGAAGTGAAGTAAGTTCCGCGGTTTTCAACAGTTTGCAGCGGATAAACTCCGCAAGCTTCGTCAGTCCCTTCCCCGTAAGCTGTCTTCCCGTTGGTGTCGCTGTTCTGGGCCAGGTTCTGAGATTGGCAACGTTGTGGCTGATGCGGATCAGGCGCTCCAGCAGTGCAGCGCAGCGGCAGTCTCCCAGGATTGGACAGACGTAGCGGAAGAAGTCGCGCGCGGGCTAGGGGCGAATGCCACCCTAGTCAAGCAGACGCGAACTCCCAAGACCAGGCCCTGGACTGTTTTTACACCACTTGGATGGTTTAAGATATCGGTGATGGACATGCACCAGGCCTTCGTTGCGTTTGCCTGGATATCCCTGGTGTCCCTGGGGGGCATCATCTATGACGTGCGCGGGCCCCCCATAGGGGGTGCGTTGTCAGGCGTCTTCCTTTCGGTGCTCATATGCTGGTTCGAGTTCCGGCCCAACGCGATGAGGCGCCGCTGGGTTTCAGCGGCTCCTTGGACGCTCTCGGCTTCCCCTAGGGCAACGACGTCGCGTGGGTGACATCATCGGCGTGAGCGCGCACTACTGCCGCGCTCGCACCCATGCATACCCATCCGAAGTTTACCCCACACGCCCCTGCCCTGCTCGAGGGCCTTGCGGAGACGACCTTGAACTCAGCAGTAGAGCCCGAAGTGGTGATGTCCCTCAAGAACCCGAACCGCCCCTGGCTTGCAGGCGAAGTGGAGACCCGCCCCCGATCGAACATCACCGAATGGCCAGGCCAACCGCCTCGGAAGTCGCTAGTGCGGTTTCGCTCTTCTCGGGCCGACTCGCCCGCGCTTCATATCTTAGCCTGTCCAGTGGGGTGGCACTTGGGTGGGCCCCGGAGCTAGCGCTAGAACTAGTCCCGCTTGGATACCCCATCGACCTCATCGCTGCTGATGCCCATGCTGCGCCGCGGAGTATTTCGGCTCAGCGGGCCCGGGCAGTCTTGCGAGTTTGGCGATGCCATCTTCGGCGTTCCATTCCTGAGTCCACGCTGGCCACGGGGAAAGGCTACGAGCGTCGTCGGGGCAGCGACTCGTGGAGCGGGGGCCGCGACCGCGACGAGAGCGACGAGCGCGACCGCGACCGCGATCGTCGCGACCGCCGAGATTTCCGAGGCGACCGCGATGAGTATCGCGAGGCGCGGGGCCGTCGGGCCGAGCGCGACAGCGGCGTCTCCAGCTCCGACCGCGATCGCGATCGCGACCGCGACTGCCGATGCCACAGCATGGGCAGGCCCCGCAG